TGACATCAAACATTAGGAGAACAAAGAACATGCAAGGCAGGTACGGTGCCGCGAAGGGCAAGGAAGGGAAAACAATGGGACACAGCGGGGCAAGGTGCAGGGAACGGGGAGACCGAGAGAGAGAGAGAGAGAGAGAGAGAGAGAGAGAGAGAGAGAGAGAGAGAGAGAGAGAGAGAGAGAGCGGCAGGGGGAGGCAGGCGAGCGACGTTACACCATGCATTGTCCTTTGGTCGACATAACAACCAGGGCGATTACACATCACCAGCACTCCACGATAGCCAGCAGTACACGATGGGCTGAATGTCCTGACTACATCTTCTTTTTCCATTGGCTAGGAAGTAATGCGTGTTCAAATTGTGAGGGGCATATCATGCCGTCAAATGACAACACACAATAAGCAGAGGCCAAGCAATTTAAGCGAGTGAACACGCCAGCGCGCGCGCACTATCTATAAAAAGGCCAACATTCTTTATTTAGGACACAACCTCATTTACAGCAAAAACGCGTTGCATGGCCCCCAACGCACGCACGCACGCACCCACACACACACACACACACTCTCGCAAAGAGCTAGCGCAGCATGTCAGAAAAGGCACGGTGCCAGGCATGCAAGTCGTGTGTGATGGCATGTGTCTCATCCAAGCGAAACACGAATATCCGACCGGGCACAGCCACGTGCAGCTCTGGCACATCGCCACCCACGCCTTGCTTCAGCTCGACGCTCTTTACGGCACGCAGATGAATGGCACCACGCGGGTGGGTGTCGTCCTCTCCACGAAAGTACAGCAGTGAAGATTCAACGATGCGGAAAAACCGAGGTTGGAACGCTGTGTTGAGCTGTCCGCGCTTTTGCAACCATCCACACATCATGTCATGCTGCTGTCGTACGTCTCCGTCGCCACCACGACCACCACCTTCATTCTCATCAGCGTCATCGTCTTTATGTTGCGGATTGTGCTGGGTGTCCCTTTGCCTCTTGGCGCCCGTGTCTGTTGGCGCTTGCGCCTCCTGTTCACCTTCAGCCAGCACTAGAAACCCTGCGTCGGCAGCAGCGTTGCGCATGAGCTCGAGGTTCTTGGCCGCCACCACTGTGCTCCTGTGCTGTGGACCAAGCGCAGTCGTGAACGCCTGCACTGCACCTTGCATGTGCTCCAGTCCGCGTGCAAAGTCACCGTGCTGGGCGTATGCGGTGGCCAGCCTCTCCTGGGTCATGGCCGTGTGCGGGTGCTCACGCCCTAACACAGACGCCTGAATTGCAAATGCCCTGCCATAGGATTCAGCGGCGCGCTGGAAGTTGCCCGTCTCATCATACACGCTGCCGAGGTTGCCATGCACCATGGCAGTGTGCGGGTGGCTGTCACCGAGCGCTGCGCTGAAGATGTGGAGGGCATGTTCAAAGCACGTCAAGGCCTCTTCCCGCTGCCCAAGATTGTTGTGTGCGTTGCCGAGGTTGTTGTAAGCGATACCCGTCTCTGGGTGCTCCTCGCCAAGCACGGCCAGCTTAATCTCCAGGTCCCTTTGGAAGCAGTCGACGGCGTTGGCGAAGTCGCCCACGGCCCGGTATGCGCCGCCCAAGTTCCCGTACGCCCTCGCCACCTGCGGGTGATGCCGGCCGCACGTGTCGAGGAAGATGCGCAGCGCAGTCTTGTAGTGCAGGATGGCGGCGTCCATGTCGCCCATCGCAAAGTGCGTGCTGCCGAGGTTGCCGTGTGCGCCCGCCGTCTCCTCGTCCTTCTCTCCGACCGTGGCCATGAGGATGGCCAGCGCCGCCTCGTGCTGCTGCAGCGCCCGCTCGTAGTCGCCGACCTTGTCGTACACGTTGCCCAAGTTGCTGTGGGTCCCGCCCGTGCTCTCGTGGTTCGCCCCGAGCGTGGCCGTCTTGATGCGCAGGGCGCGCTGGTAGTACTGAATGGCGGTGGCATAGTCGCCGCGCGCGGTGTGGGCGAGGCCGAGGTTGTTGTACTTGAGTGCCGTCTGCTCGTGCTCCTCGCCGAGGCGGTCCAGCGTGACATCCAGGTCCTTGTGGTACAGCTCAATCGCTCTCGTATGTGCGCCAAAGGCAGAGAGCACACTGCCCACCTGGCTGCACAGCTTGGCGTACTCCATCATGTCCACGGCGCTCCCGCCTCCGCCTTCGCCTCCGCCTTCGCCTCCGCCTTCATCTTGCTGCTGCTGCTGCTGCTGCTGCTGCTGCAATTGCTGCTCCATGGCGGTAACAAATGCCTCTGCGGTGGTGAGGCACCAGGAGCGCATCTGGTCCTTGACCGCCTTGTTCAGCGCTGTGAAGCCGACGCTGGCCTCGATGGCAGCGAAGATCATGTCTTTGTCCTCGGGCTTCCACGCCTCCGCCTTCTCCGCCTGCACGTGCACCAGCATGTCAGTGACGGCGGCCAGGTCGTCCAGCACGGCGTCACGCAGGGCCACGTGCTGCTGGGACGGCAGGCGGATGGCCAATTCCACGTCGTCGCCTTGGCTGATGCTGCAGAAGATCTCCCACAGGCACCAGGCACGCGTCAGCGGCACGGGGTCGTTCCAGGGCGTCAGCACCAGCAGCACTTTCCCAATTTGCCGGATCGACTCTTTGAATGTCGTGCTCCACCTAGGAGAAGAGACGGGAGGGGGGGGGAAGAAGGGGAAGGGGAGATAGAAGAGGGAGGGAGGGGAAAAAGAAGGGAGTATCGGGCGAGGGTACGAGTGAGCATTTGGGTAAGCGTGTGTGCGTGTGTGTGTGTGTGTGCGCTTGTGCATACGCGCAAGCGCCCGGGAGAAGCATATGTAGATAGTGGTGGTGACGTTACACAAGCAGATACACACACACACACACACATACACACACACAGACAGACACACACACACACACACACACACACACACACACACACACACACACACACACACACACACACACACGCACACATACACAGACACAGACACACACACACACACACACAGACACCCCGGGCGTACCACTCTTGAGGGAGGTTGGCTGTTACATTTGCGTGTTGGTTGTTGACAAAGAGGTCAAACCAGAAGAATGTCTCCTTGCCACCATGCTGCGCCTGCTCCTCTTCTTCCGCAAACTCAAGCAGTGTGGACAGCACGTCCACGATCTTGTATCGCCAGGCGTGTGACACAAACACGGTTGCTGGTGCGACGTCGTCCCCGTTCTTCTCTTGCATGAGATCGATGTACGCACGCTGCTTCTCCTTGGTGCGCGGCACCACCAGTGCCGTGCACGCGTCCTGCGTCGTCATGGCCATGTACTTCCCAGGGAACTCCTGCTGCAGGTCGGCCATGAACTGCCTGATGGCCGCTGCAGACACCCCGCTCGCGTTGATGGCCGCCATGCTGCTGTTGTGGTTCTGGAGGATTTGTAGAAGATTTCAAACAAATGTCGGCGGTGGCAGCGGCAGTCCTTTCTGGTCGACTGCGCACACCCATCATCACCACCAACAACCACCAACCGCAGTCCAGCACCTTCAAACACCAGCACATCTCTCGCTTGCTTGTGATGGATCGTGAAAGCGCGCACGAGCTTGGTCCTGATCCCGAAGAGCCAGTTCTGAGCGTGCATGAGTGGGCACTCATTGCACAGCATGTCCTGACCTTAGAGGCTGTGGGTAGCCAAGGGGACTCGACAGCGCCCGATCATGTGCGAGCGTGCCTGCGCGCTTGCTTCAACCTGATGCTGACCTGTCGGCATTTGTATCATGCTCTGCCCTTCATGATGCCAAAGTGGTGTTTGGCAGAGCCACTGCGGCGGCTGAAATGGCGAATCTTCGAATCAAATGCCATGCACTGGCTAGATGCGGCCGTTGACGTTGGCTGCCACAGCGACCAAGACCGGGGCGCTTGTGCACACACTCCAGCAACGGATGCCAGAACGGCGGAGAGCGCAACCACAAGGAGAACAGCCACAAGCACAACAGCCACCACAGACATGTCTGCAGGAGGGTGCTGTTGGCTGGAGGAGCGGTTCCTCGCCCACGCTTGGCTGGGCTGGACATGGAGCTGCGACTGCCCCTTCCTCAAGGCCAAGGCACGCTCGCCAGCGTTCTGTGCACGATTTGCTGTGTGCGGCCGTGTCCGATTCGACGCACTCGTGCACATGGCCGAGTGGATCAACTGCAACGTGCGAGACAGCGCGATTCAGCAAGGGGGCGATGACGCAGATGGTGGAGAACGAAGCTATGGTGACAGTGTTGGTGCCAGGGATGATTTTGCCGTCCCTGACACAAATGATGCAAGTGACGCAAGCACTGCTACACCAGAAGCAACGGGACGCAACAACACCACGCAGGAAGAAGAGAAAGAAGAAATAGAAGCAGCAAAACAGGAAGGGGAAGGGAAGGAAGAAGTGGACGAGGCACCCAGCGCCAGCAGCACACGTCAGGCACCCAGCACCGGCAGCACAGCACCGCCACCCAAGCAACGACAGCTCTTCCCCGCCCTCATCACACTCAAGGCCAACATCAAGGACCAAGCAACACTGGACGCGTTTGCACGCTTGCGCAGCGAGTTGAACAACGTGGCCATTGATCAGCTCAGGCTGTTTGTCACGTCATCGCTCGAGGAGGTGGACATTGCCAACGCGCGATTCGTGTTTCTGCTGTGCGAGCACGCGTCTGCGCCAGTGGTGGTCGCACGCGCAAGCTTCCGCAACGTGGCGAGGGTTGCGTGGTACCCGGATCGGGCACAGCGCTCCATTACCGGCCTGTTCTCAGGTGTCGGCGCTGTGGAACTGCACGGCGCCTTTGAAGGCTCGTTTGGCGTGTCCGATGTGTCTGCCCTGGCCGGCGTACCCGATGTTCAGCTGACACGGCTGCCCAGCTTGCACGACGTCTCACCACTTTGTGGCGCTGACAAGGTCCATCTGCATGCCGTCGGTGTGCGGGACATGTCGCCCCTGGAAAACGTCGCCCACGTGACCATCTCCTCCTGCAACCAGCTGCAGATACCAGAGCGTGGCTTGAAGCTGGGCGCGGCAACCGTGCACGTCTTGAACCTGCCGTCGCTTCGCGGTGCCCTGCTCTGCCCACGTGCGGACGACGTCTCAGTCGTCAGCTGCCCTAGAGTCTCGCTCATTCGCTGCAGCGCGCGCCCGCGACGCCTCTGCATATGCGCGTGCCCGTCACTGGAGTGCATCCCTTCGTTTGAGCACGTGGACGAGCTGACACTTGATGCACCGGCAGACCGGGACCTGGTGGCGTCGTTGCGTTGCCGCGTGGACAACCTCACCATAAGCACACATCGGGGCGGGGCAGTGGCCACGCTGCGACACGTGGCCGCGCTCCCCGCCACCAGCGTGCACCTCAGTGACTGCATTGACATGGATGTGATGCAGGCCATCCCGCCGTGTGTGAAGCACATGAGCGTGCGGCTACCGCGCCCGTTGGCGCTGGAGTCGCTGCGAGGCCTGCGCACTCTGGACATCACCTGCGACCAGGAGGTGGTGCTCTCCTCCAGCCACGTTGAAGGGCTGCGCCGCGTGCACACGCTCACCATGAGGGGCGCTCACTTGAACGGTGTGGCGTTCCACTGCTTCAAGCATCTCAAGCTTGGCAACTGCAGCGGCAGCCTGAGCGTCAGCAACGTGGATACCTTCCTGTGCGAGCACCAGCAGCAACATGCGCCCCTCTCTGTCTTGTCCATGGCACGCGTTGGCCAGGCGCAGTTCCGAGCCATGTCCACGCCACCCATTGACGTTGGTGAGACGCACCACGTGCACCTGCTCTCGATCGTGCGCGCAGTGGTGGCGACCGACCGGTGCGCGGGCTTTGCTGGCGCACATCGCCTGCACCTCCGCAACTGCAAATTCCGCAGTGCTGATGGCGGTGGTGATGGTGATGGTGGAAGCCATGCTGCTCGTGCTGGAGATGATGGTGCTCATGTCGTTTGTGGTGATGTGAGCTTCCTGCCGCCTGTCCCAATCCTGTCGATCAAGGGGTGTCAGTTGTGGGACGGCACAATCTGGCCATCCATAACCAGGATACGATAGTGCTCGTGGTGCTGTGCCGTGGTGTCGTCTTGTGGCGTCTTGTGTCGCGTGTATGTTGCTGGTGGGATTGTAACGCAACGTAATGTAATGTAAACACGTTTATGCGCAGGGGTACATTTCATTTTAGCGTGACTTTAACGCCACGACAGCAGCGGGCATGAGAGGATACAGGCCAAGGAACTACAGCCACATCGGCCTGCTCCATCCATCCATCCATCCATGCACAGACAGGCGGACAGACAGACAGGCAGGCACTCATAAACGTCACTCTACATCTGCGTGACGAGCGCCGTCATCTTTGCTGCTTCTTGTTGTCTTCTTTCCCTCCTTAGTATCGTCATCTTCGCTCAGCTGTGTCTGCTCCTGTGAGTCACGATAAAAGTGTTTGGTGGTGTGATGACGAACATTGAGGGACACGTCGTGCTACAGTGGAGGCGAGCAGAAAATGCACGCAAAGACGAGAGACAGACAGGTAGAAGACAGGTACAGCCAGTCACACACAGACACCCACAGACACAGACACAGACAGACAGACAGACAGACACACACACACACACAGGCACAAACACAGACAGACACACACGCACACGCAGACCAACCTCAAACTTGTCGTGTGTCCAGCGCTCCTCCGGCTCGTCCCCACGTCTGTGACGACGGTGCTCACGGCGGTCGTGATGGCGGTGATGGTCATGATGGTGGTGGCGGTGGCGGACATCTCGCTCATCACCGCGTACTGGTTTCTCGTCACGGTGTTGGCGGGTGTCGACGCCGCGATCATCATGCTACATGCAGGCATGCGAGTGCGAGTGTTTGTGAGAAATGCAATAGCAGTGGGAACAGCAGGCGTAAAGCGTGCTATGCTTTGCTGCTGCTGGTGGCATGCGTCGACATGCATCGAGACGTGTCAGTTCAAACCGCCGTTGTGACAGACACAGCGTACAACCGCACCTCAAAGAAATACCCGCGGCGGGGCACACTCTGGGGATCACGGGATCGCTCGGGCTTCGTCCTGCAAGATGGTTCGGGCGTGGGTGGTTGAGCATGGGTGTGTGTATGTGTGTGTGTGTGTGTGGCTTGAGTTGAGTGAGTGTTGGGGTGCCTGGTGCTGGCGTGTTGTGAATGCGTACAAGCACATACATGCATGCAGACAGAGGAACAGACAGACAGACAGACAGACAGACAGACAGACACATACACACACAGACAGACACACACGATCTGAGACTCAACCTGTGCGGGCTGGAGCTGCTGATGTGGCGTGCGGGTGCGCTGGCTCCCCACGGCCGACCACCAATCCTGTTGGAGATGAAGCAGGACACGTTGAGGGTGCGCAAGGGTTACCACAAGATGCAGACAGGCAGAGTCAGGGACAGGCAGACAGTGACAGGCAGACAGATAGACAGACACACACACACACACCCACACACACACACACACACACACACACACACACACTTTCTCTCTCTCTCTCTCACAGCCATCCCGCCACCCTCCCCGACATCCACACACACCTGTCTTCCGCAGCACGGTCGCGGTTGAAGCGGCCAATACGGCCTCGGTCGTGTCTGTAGTCATGTCGGTAGCTCGACACGTGATCCTCGTGGCGTCGGTGACTCGCCTTCAACATGCGGCGCTCTCCGTACTCAAACTTGCCACCACATCGTTTTGGCCTGTGATGATGGCGCCTGTGCCTGTCATCGTCTTCCTCGTCTTCACCGTCATCGCTGCGGTCGCGATCGTGGTCCCGCCAGCCCTTGCTTCCTCTTCCTGCACGTCCAGGACTCCTGCTCCTGCTCCTGCTCCTGCTTCTGCGATCGTGCTCTCTGTGGCGCCGCAGCCGACGCTCCTCTTCCTCCTCGTCCATCGCCGCGCGCGATCGCCTGCGATGGCCATCTACGTGTGGTTGGTGAGAAGGGGCAACGCACAGAGAGCGTTCCGGTGAGTGAAGCAGGTCGCTTGGCCGCAGCAACCACACACACACACACACACACACACACACACACACACACACACACACGACGAGCATGCATGCCCAACACAAAAGCCATACACACACCGACCTCTGTGTCTCCATCAGTGGGTTGTTGGTCGTCTGAGTTGTCACCGTTACGCACAAATCCGTTTTTTCGCACACACAAACGGGTAGCGTTGAGAAAATGTTGGTGATTTAATTTTTGAGGGGGTTGAGAATGAGGCCCATTTTTGGTCGGGAGGTCGACCTGAGACCCCGAAACCCTGTTTGTAGAGCTCTCCGTGCTCGACCCGATGCAACTCGAATCACCTTTCATCCGACGCTCCAAACCTCAGTTATGGTCATTTTATTGATGGGAGTGACATACCCCAATATGGGGTGGGTGGTGGTCGCATATGGTGTGGGCGCTTAGGTCAAATTTTTAGGTCGTGTAGGTTTCTGTTTAGGAAGGGGGTAGCGGGTGTGTGTGTGTGTGTGTGTGTGTGTGTGTGTGTGTGTGTGTGTGTGTGTGTGTGTGTGTGTGTGTGGTTTAGGCTTGAAGCACGACGGGCGGGGTCGGTGGACGCTGGTCATGAGTGGCGATGGCCTGCTGCTTGCTGCGCATCAGGTCGACGTTGAAGAAGTCGTCCTGTGTCGCCTGGGGCAGGTCGCTCAGGTACTCATCTCGGATGTGCGTGAGCTGCTTCACGCGCGCCTCCGTCATCTCACGCCGCCGGAGAGGCGGTGCAGACGTCAGCCACGTGCGCGAGTTGGCCGTGTCTCTGACCTTGCTTGGGTCGAGCAGTTGGAACGCTTGCCACTCGTCCGTGGGACTTACACGGTAGAACATCACGCCAGGGGTGTCGCTGCGGAAGTTGAAGTGGTGGTTGCCGCTGATCGGCACACGCGCGGTGACATCAGCAGCCATCGTGCCGAGCAGTGCAGAGTACGTGCGCTGGGGCACCGTGTCAGCGTCGACGGCGTGGTTGGTGGACGCCGAGTCATCCACCAGCTCACGAAGCTGGCGCGGGCATTCCACGTTGTACAGGTTCATGGCGCGCTTGATGTGGCCAAAGCCGCCGTCGTGGAAGGTCCGCGTGTGGCCCTGGATCATGAAGTGCAGGTACACGTCGCAGCCATAGCGGGCGGAGTACAGGCTGAGGAAGCGCATCATGTTCTTGTTCTTGTTCTGGCCAGTGCAGTTGTCGGCCGTCAGGTAGATGGTTTGAGGGCGCGGGGTGATGGACTGCAGGTACTGGAAGAGCAGCGAGATGACCAAGTCTGAGCCGCGCTTGGCTGGTGCGGTTGTCTCGGGGATGACGTAGTTGGTCTGCTGACATGTTGGCAAGAACACAATGCCAAAGATGTCCGCCTTCAAGCCAGACTCATAGTAGAATTGCTGCATCGCACAAACAGCAGGGTGTGAACGTGAGCGTGCGAGAGCGAGTGTGACACGAGACAAGACAGTGGTGTCTGTAGGAGGGCGCACGACAAATACATAATGTGCAGCCGCCGCTCACCTTTCGCTGACGGACAAAGTGGGGCAGGCGCACCGTTGCCGCAAAGTCAAACGACAGGGCAGCGACAGATCCAGGCTGATCGCACGCGAGTTGCACGTTGTGTTTCATGAAGTGCCGCTCCTGCTTCACTTCAGCAAGATGGTTGGACAGGTATTCCGTGGCATGCTTGTTGACAAGAGTGGCACACATATCGCACACGTCTGTTTCCTTCTTGGCACGGCGTGCGGTGGGGTGGTTCTGCAGCCAAACGAGCCGGAACGAGCTCTCTGCAATAGGGTTATCTATGATTTGGCAAGTGAGCGCATAGCCATGTGAGCCAACGAA